GGCCACCCACCACAAACTCTCAAAAACTGAAGAACGGGTGTGCAGACTGATCAGTCTGGCACACCCGCCATTTCCGAAGGATGCCAGTCTGTGCTGAGGGCCCTGGCCAGAGCCCTGTCCTTGGCCTCCCCCTTCGGTCGCCAGGGCCGGGGGCACCCGCACCCCACAGCCGTGCCTTCCTCATTCAGCAGGTGGATTCTGGCCTGGCCGGCGTTGCCTGTGCGTTTGACCGCCGCAACAACACGAAGGGGGAAGTCCGGGGTGGTGGGAAACAGGTCCTTGGCCTTCACTGGTGTGTCCTCGGGTCCCTGTTCCACCAATGACCATGAGCGAGTCGATGGTGCGCTCCCTGAGGGTACCGTGGGGGACGCCTCCCCTTCCCCTTCGGTTTGGTCCTTGTGGCCGTCCGGTCCCGCATCCGTGATTTCCACTGCTGGCGGCGGGAGCGGGTCCGCCCAGTCCGGGTGGTTCAGGTCCTCCCTGCGTTCCCTGCCTGGCCCGAGGTTCAGGTTGGGGACCTTCTGCGCCACCTGGCCCCAAATTTCCACCACGACATTGCGCTTCTCCCGCACATAGACGTCTGCTGTGCTCTCTGTGAGCCAGTTGCCTAAGTACATGCGGCGCTCCCGGGGGATCCCCATCTGGAAAGCGCAGTCCGGGATGAACACTCGGAATGAGTGCCACGTCAGCGGCTTCACCACTCCCCGACGGAGAATAGCATCCTAGAGCCCTTTCTGGTGTGGAAGGTGTCGGGATCACCTGCGAAGTCTTTGCTCACTGTCGGGAGCAAGTAGTCCATGTCCTGGAATGCCTCCTCGGATACCAGTGGACCGTGGCCACCCAGGTGGTCACCAGGGGATCCCCGTGAAGCTGTACTTCGGAGCAATTAAGGGGACCGGGTTGCGGTTGATTCGTGCTGCTGAGACCGTCTTGGTCTGCCAGGCCTTCAGCTCCACGGTGTCACTGGTGTGGATCAGGTCCTTGGGGTGAACATGCTGGAGGTCATTGAAACGAGCGCTGCACCCTACTTGGAACCGGGCGAAACCCAGGATGAATGCGTCCAGTGCCTCGTGTCTGCTCCTTCCCGGGGCCGCCTGCGTACCGGGGCCGGTGGCACCCAGGTGATCGTAGCCAGCCCCTTCCTCCAGAGCCCATATGACCTCTTTGCTGGGGACCACCGCCTTGCGCTGCGGCCGGGTGACCGTGTCCGTGAGTGCCTCTTCCAACGAGCTCTTCTTGGACTTGAGGCGATGGAGCTCGTCTATCTTCAGCATACCGAAGGTCTTGGACTACCATTTGAGGGTGTTCCACACCTGCCGTAGCTTGCACGGGGTGACCTCCTCTTCGGCGAGCTGGTTGAGGAGAGAGCGGACATGACGTTCCTGCCAGGGAATCACCGTGAAGCCTCTCTTCCGGAGACTCTCGTAGACCAGGCAATGTTGCCTGAGTGTCCGGAACCTAGTGTCCCCCAGGAGGTCCAACGCCTCCTTGCGGAAGTCCTCTCCCAGGATGTCCTGCATGTATGCGATGTGCTCCGCAAACGGGGCAAAGTGGGCGAGGAGCCGTTCCGCCCATTTCCCGCGCATATGGAGTTCCAACGCTCGCTGGGTCGTGGGCTCCATTTCCCTTATTTTGCCCGGGCGCCAGTGCCTCCACTTCAGAAGCTCCGGTTGCTGGAGTGGGGGTGGGTCATCTCGTGAGAACCACCTCAACTGGTCCTGGCGGTCCCATTCATTCTCCAGCGGAGAAAAGTCCTCGCTCGGCTTGCCATCCGCCATCGCCAGGAGGAGGAACCATAGGCTGTCCCACAGGTCGGCCAGGTCCGCCGCGGACAGAGGCTGGGGAAGCCTGCCTGCCGCCGACGCCACCAGGCCGTTGAAGTAGTCCGTCGGGACCATGCGGTCGTCTTGTCCTACCGGAATGCCCGAGAGCTCCAGGAGATGAGAGAAGCGGACTGCCGGCTCTCCGCCCAGCTTCCTCCCCTCCTCCTCAGTGCCTTGGCGCAGGCACATCAGGACCAACAGCTCTCCGTCCGTCTGTCTCGGGGAGAAGGACTCATCGGCCAACGTGTCCCATAGGACCCTTGGAATGCGGTCCCAAAGACGTGTGTAAGGCGGGCGCATAAGAAACTTGGTAGATACCCTAGCCATGATGAAAAAGGGGGGTTTCGAGCCTCATATATCGAACCGCCGGGACCCAACCGCGGCACAATGCATGCATGCTCCAACCATGCAGAGGGCAGAGTGCAGATGGAGCAGGCAGGCCACACGCATCCCGACCAGTCCCCCCCAAAGTCCCGAGATTTTAACCGGGAACGGGGGGGGAGCGCGACCCAAAACCAACCCCCAGAAACCCCCCAAAAGCACGGAGGGGGGAGACCGACCCGGCGGGGGATTCCCCAAAAACCCCCAGGGACCTCAGGGAAGCCAAAAGGCCCGCCCTTGGGGCAGCTAATGCCTGTGGCCTCATGGTCGAGGAGATCAAGCTGCCGTGACGTGGCTCCCCTGTCAAGACAACAGAATGGAATAAGAGAGGAAACAGTGGTGAAAACCGAACCCAATAAGGAAAACCCTTTTCCCTTCCCCCCCCCTCCGGAGACGGGGCCAAAGGCACCCAAGTCCCGGGAGGAAGAAGTCACACGACTCCCACATCCGACAGGGTTGTGAGACAAAACCTAGCGGCTCCCTCATTTCAGGATCGCCTCCTTCGCCACCGAGTGGATTGCCGCCAGCCCCGACTTCTCTGGGTTGCTCAGGATGACCGACCACAAGGCACGGGCTCCCTCGTTGGCCACCTCCTCTGACGGCAGGGCCTGCATGCCTTTTTGGAGGGGCACCAGGATCGCCACTCGTTGTCCAGCATCTCCTCCGTGACCAACTCCTTGTGCCGCCGCCTGGCCGAGGCCTCTTCGTCCACCTGGGGATGGTAGAGCTCGAAGCTCTGAGCCTCCGCCTCCTTCAGGGACCGCTGCGCTTTGACCTTGATCTCCTGCCTTTCCCGGACCTTCAACGCCTCGTCGTCCGCCTCCATGGACAGGATCTCCTGCCGGATGTCCACCCGCCTGTTAAGCGGGACCGCATCAGCCATTGTGATCTCATCTGCCGAGTCCGTTTTTGGAGGGGCTCTCCCCAAGACCGTGCCGTCCACCAAGTTGCGGTCGGCCTGTGCCAGGGTACCACCAAGGCCAACAACACCCAGGCTTCCCCATTCCCGCTGCTGGATCCAGGTCGGCTTGCCCTCCAAGATGAGCAGGTTGTAGGTGATGCCGTCCGCCTCGTAGGTGGCCGAGGGTGCCTGGAAGGGGGCGAACTCCTTGCCGGGGCAGACCCAGCACTGCTTGGCCGCCTCTGGCCACCCCGTTCCGCATGCCTTGCACATGAACTTGTAGTCGGAATGACCTGCGTCGAGCCTGTTCATGCGCTGGGTGCCGATACACGCCCTGTTCCTCTGGAACTGCGAAGCCCAGACCTCCTCCTGGCGGAGCTGGATCTTCATCGGGACGTACGCCTCCAAGATGCGGATCACCAGGTCCTCCGTGAGGTTCTTCCCAACAAACTTGTGGAACAGGGAGACCGCCTCCTCCATCGTGATGCCTCTCAGCAAGGTGGCCGCCGACGCTGGAAGGACTGGAAACAGGTCTGGGAGGTCCACCAGCTTGAAGTACCCGGGTTTTTCGTCCACCGGCACCAAGGTGACAGGCTTGTTGGCCTGAGACGAAACCCTTCAGTCTCTTCATGGGTGGCGTCTGCGCCTCCTCCGGTGGTGTGGCCCGCTCCGTGCCGTCCGCATCCCCCATCTCCTTGTCGCCCTCATCGGCGGGGCCAGGGGCACCCAGGCCGGGAGTCGGTGTGGCAAATGCCACTCGGAGACGCTCCAGTGCACTGGAGAGGTCCTTCATCACATCGGTCGCCGAAGCTGACGGGGGGGCCTCGGGCTCGTCCAAAACCAAGCCGGCCGCCACTGCCGCCTCCCGTGTGCGAATGTCCTGGGCCTCCTGGCTGGCCATTTCAACCTCCTCCACGGTGAGTGTCTTGTCCTCAATCAACTCAAAGGAAGTTGCCGAGGTTGCCGAGGAAGCCATTGCTTGGTCGGGGTTAAGTTCGAAAATGCAAAAGATCAGAGTTTTTCAATCAGCTTGGGTTCCAGGAACCCAGAACAATGCTTGAGCCAAAATGGCACATGCCATTGTGGTCAAGCATTCCACACACAGTTCATGTTTCCACATGCGTTTCAACATTAACAAAAAATGGTCCTCCCAAAAGTTTAAAGTTCATGAACTCAGGAAGTGAGCTTCAAGCCAAGGTAAAAAGGACACCCCTGAAATAGCACAGGCACGGAGCTGTCGTTGGAGAAGCATAAGCAAGGAGGTGGAGTCAACATCAGGAGCACTCAAGGGTTGTTGCGCCCGATCGATCGCAATAACTTGCCCTTTGCCTTCGGCAAGAAAGAAACCATGCTGAATTCGGGTCTTGGGGTTGGGGGCCATCTTTGAATCTGTGATAGCAACGTGCTTGACTCCCATCCCTACTACTAACGGCCCTGAACCTTAGGGGAGAAACCCACAAACACGCGAAGCCAGTGTCCAGAACTCTACAGGTCTATGTTCTCCAGTAGAGAGGTTAGAATAAGGCAACCAACTTTTTTCTGTAGTCTATTTTAGTAGGGGGAACCCTCCTAACCCAAAAAAAAGGTGAGAAAGGGCACCTAGCTCGAGAACCTAGCTAACCTAAGAAGGCCACCTATGAAAAGGACTGCCGCCACTCTTTGGGGCAACCCCTCTGTTTCTCACTGGCTGAGTGGATGGCCCCAAAAAAGTCCAAACTTTTTCTGTACCACTAAAATGGTCCTCCCAAAAAGTTTAAAGTTCATGAACTCAGGAAGTGAGGTTTTAATACATACCCACAACTTAATCATAACTGGTGAGAAAGGGCACCTAGCTGGGGAACCAAGAGGTTGATCCCCCCGTTCTTCTCAACCCTTCTGCTCTTAAGGGCGGCGTCCTGACTGGCGCTGAGGCTCCAGGAGGTATCGGAGCTGAAGATCTGGCGATTCGATTGCTTAGGGAATGAGAAATGGGACGAACCCAGGCTTTGGTCCCCGAAAAAACCATAGGTTGGATTGCTTTTTTGGGGTCATTGTTTCATTCCCTGCTGAGCACCAGCGAGTTTTGAGTTGGTCTATGGTTGGTTTTGGGGGGTTTAGGGATTGCGGGTGCTGTAGGGGGGTGTTTAGGCTTGGTTTAGTTTGGGTTTTAGGGGCTGGGCTTGGTGTAGGGGGGGGGGAGGTTTAGGGTTGGTTTAGGCTTGGTTTGCGGTTGGTTCGGGGTGCCCTGGTGGATGGTTTCCCATACTCAAGAACCATGACAAGTTCCCCGAACAGGGAAACCTGGCTTCTCAACATATTCTGAAGGGAAACAAACGAGGCACGCCACCACGCCATGTTGGTGTTGTAGCCCTACTTTGACACAAAGTGCTGCAAGTGAAACGTTTGCGGTGGCCAAGTTCTGTGAGAAGTGGTTGATTGTGACCTCCTTGATATCATGTTCAACTGCCTGCCGTGAGTGACACAACCAGAAACCGGGCTGGCTTTGGTTCAGGCAAGAATAGTAACAGAGAAGCAAATCTTGCTTTTCAGGTCAGGTCGATTATAGACTGAAACATACTGAAACCCACTGTGCCCACAAACGCAAGATGTCAGGGGAGTTTGCTCCCTTGAAGAAGCGCCTGCCCTTCCACAAATGCCGGCTGAGGTATATGTTGGACTCATTGCAGGGCTCATTGAAGGGCTCTGAGCCAAATTGTCGTTGCCAGTTGCTTCAACAAATGAAGTTTTCTTTTTGAGGGTCCCCTTCTCTTGGTGGTTTGCAAAAGGAACCAAAAGGAATACCACCATTCTGGGGGGGGGGTTCCCCTTCAAAACGACGTACCCAAGTTGCTGGTGGTGGGTGTTCCTTGTTTCCCTTTCACCACAACCCCCCGGGTTTCCTCCAAATAAGGCCTCGATGATGCTTTTTTGGGGGGAACGCAAGAGGGGGTGAGTTACCTTCATTTGAAGTCTGCTGCAAAAAATAACAATACTTCCAGTAGTGACAAGTTCCCTTCAAAGTCAACAGGGGAAAATATAAATATGCTTCAGCAAATGGAAGGTTAGCGGTGGGGTTCCCATGGACGCCGCGATCATCGCCGCTGCGGAGCTCATTCCTTTTTCCCCCGCGAGGCAGTGCTGTCTCACCTGGGCACAGCAGTCGAGGGGGCGGCACACCTTCTTGCAAAAATCACGTGTGTGTATATATAAATAGATACTGTATGTATCCCTGCTTGGTGTCCTGGAGCAACTAAGAATGCTGGGCCATTTAACATTCAGAAACCTTTGCTTCCCAAAGGTGCAAGCAAAGAATGCAGAAACACCAAACATTAATATCAGCTCACATTGTTTGTCTCACTTGCCCAAAGGAGTTGGAAACAAAAGGCTAACCTTTTGGTATATACCTCTACTAAAACTGGACCAAAATGGGAAAACCAAAAGGTCAAAAGGTCGGCTTTGGGCAACTGAGTTGTGGTTGTTACCGCAAAACAGGCAGACGGCTCCTGGTCGTTTCTGCAATATGTCAACACTTCTTTGGTGCTCAACATCTAGGTCCTCCAGTAGAGAGGATAGAATGAGGCTACCAACTTGTTGTTTTCTGTAGTCTATTTTAGTAGGGGAACTCCCCCCAAAAAAGAAACTGGCAAAAGGGCACCTGGCTAGGGGACCTAGACATGTTACTGCTGAAACATGACAAAGCACCCGATGCTCTCCCAAGGTGCTAACCCGCCTGCACCCAAGCACCCCATGAGTGAACAGCTCTTTTTCAGCAAAGCTGAAACCAGAAAGGACAGCTGTGACCCCGCTCCAACCAGTGCAGGGAATAGTCATTCTGCACCGCTTTGGGACCATGGTTGAAACCATAACATTTGTTGGGAAGCATCAGAACGTAGGTTTTCTGAACGGTGATGCGGGATGGAATTCGCGAAACCATCCACAGTATGACCCCGATGAATAAGGTAAACTTCTACTGTCCTTGGTCCCAAAAAGGACGCCGGTAGCATGATTTCATGAAAATAATGGCTGGCAGGTACAGCTAGAAACCCAGCTGGTCCCGAACTCATGCATACGGGATACGGTGTAAATACAATGATAATAAAAACATGTGTATATATATATACATCTTAAATTATTCAATACCGGAGTCTGTTTGCGCACCCAAACCCAGACTGGGTTGCTTTGTTTTAACCTGGATTGTTTTCACACCAAAATCCCCCAAAATGAACTGGATGCTGCTTAGTAAGTGGGTACTATCCATGGTCAGATCCCACACAAGCCATGGTTATAAGCATCCTAAGCGGAATATGACCAGGAAAACAAACCACTTGCTACCCGATCGCCCCTTTCAGCAGGTCCCCATACAGGAGTCCTTCTTGATTGGTTTGCTTGGACACAGATGGCCCTGGTAGATGAACAAACCCGGTAAACCAGGAATCGCCATCTATCAAGCGAACCCACCACAAACGACACTGCTATGGCTGGTACCTCCCCTGGGTCCTCCAGTAGAGAGGTTAGAATAAGGGCACCAACTTTCCCGTAGTCTATTCTAGTAGGGGAACCCTCCCCCCCAAAAAAAGGGTAAACGGGCACTGGGGGACCTAGTCCCCTTTGAAATGGATTCAAACAGTTCTAGGGGTTGATTCCCCATTCTTTTCAACCATCGTTCTTTCAAAAAAAAACAGTTTTTGTGTTTCTCGTTTTTCCATGGTTTCCTGAAAAGGTGTCCCCACAAAACCGCCCGGCCGCCGAGTTGGCCGCGGCGCGGGGAGGACATGACCTGCTGCAAGGCGTCGTTCCCGGTGTCCACCACCGAGCCCCAGGAGTCGTCTGAGGCAGAGCCCAGCTCCTCACCTTTGAGACGCCACACCCACTTACTTTGCTTGAGACTGGGAAAAAATACTCACTGGCTGAGTGGATGGCCCCAAAAAAGTAACCGAACTTTATACTTGCCAAAGTTCATGAACTCAGGAAGTGAGACAACATTTCCAGTAGTGATAAATTCCTTTTTAGACCAAAAAGGGAAAAACGAGACATGTTCCTAAGCCAATGGAAGCTTGCCACCCTCAAAAATCCAACCTAAACATGTCTTATTGCGCCAAAGTCCCTCACAATTCAAGGGTTCTTGCCCATAACTTATGGTTGGTGAGTGCCCATTTTTATGGGTAGTTTGAGGGTCTAGGTACCCCTTACTTGGATTCGATTGGCGGTTTGGAAGTAGAGGATAATGGGCAAACCCTCCTTAAGCACCAAGCCAAACCAAACCACCAACAAGAGGGAAGTTGATCTAAAGGAGAAAACGGCAAAGGGGGAAGGTCAACTTCAGCAAAAGGTCGTTTTGCTTTGGGCAAGTGAGAAGCAAATATCAAATAAACCCGAGATAACTCACTTGCTGAGTGGAGGCAATGGACCCCCCAATGGGTGCAGGCGATGGAGCCCAAAGGACCAATTCCTGTTCTTGGCCGTTGCACTACTTTTCATGGGTGATTTCGGCAGAAAAAAGGGTATCGGTCCAGTGGGGGTCCGGGCAACTTGGTTCCACTAACCTGGTGATTTAAGTTTCTGGCGGCCTCCGAGGTGCGAAATGGATTTCGCATCCATCCACAGTATGTCCACTGCAGCAAAACTTTGAAATATCATAGCTCTTTGTGGAACGCCCGCTTGAGGCCTCTAAAGAACGGATTCCGGCATCGCATTTCCATGTCTGTTTCTTAAAAAAAAGAAGAAAACAAACGCAAATCCACAGCAAAAAGCGACGCCCCCATACTTTGGACGGATGGACAGCGGTTGTTTTACTCTGCAAATCGACCTTTGGTTCCGTTCCGATCCCGACTTCGTGGGCGCCCGGCTACTTGGGATCAAAACTGGGGCCCGATCAAATTGGTTTCGATGCGGCTGCCCTTCGGCCCTTCAAAGCAGTGCCAGAAGGGGACCACAGCCTTGAGAAACACCCATATAGGGCTTCCTACAATCCCATGAAGCAATCCCCATGGCCAATAGGGTGTGGAGCGCTGCGCAAACAGGGTTAGGCGCTTAGCTCCCAAAATATCAAGATCTGAAACACCATCATATAGCTCAACCAATCATAAAAAGCTGAACCATTTACAGTTTGTGGAACCATGCTTTGACAAAAATAAGAAAGGTTGATTGAAACATACACGCTTGAACCAAACCGACAATAACATATTATTCCATGAGCAAAAACAAGTCGTTGATTGAAGCATGTATTTATTTGGGGGGAAGTTGGCATTTGTCTTTGGGGAGCTTGGCGCAAAAACACATTTAATGGATGAACCAAATGTGTCATGGTCAGAACGTATTGGGTTGGCCATGGTTGTTGCTCCCTTCACAAGTCACAAGAATCCTGCCCACAGTTGCCGAGAATTTTGCAAAGGGGTCGTTGGACCTGGTTTTTGGCCCAAGGCCCCGAACATAAAGGACAAAGTAGATCAAGGTGACTTCTCGAGATTTTGACTAAAGATGGGAACCCACAATTGAAACGCAAACAACCGGCCAGCCAGCCAACTAACCAGCCAACCAAGCAACCAAGCAACTAGCCACAGCCATTTTTTGTTGCGTTCTCCGCTCCAACGACTGGGGGCTGAAAGGGGCTGGGGTAGGTAAGGTCGGGGTTCGGTTGGCTTGGTTTACTTTTCTCACACAACTGGTGCGTCGCCCGCTTTCTTGACGACTTTGGCTTCGATTCTAGGGTCTGGGTGGGTCAAAAAGGCAGCACTCCGATTGATTTTATTCTTCGAAGGCCACTTCCACAAGTGGGTTGGCAAAAAAACATCTTTTAGGGTTCACGGCTGCAAGAAATACTCCGAATCTCTGAAACGCAAACTTTAACAACGCCAACAACCCAATAAGCCCCCTCCCTCCCCGCCCGCCCACCCCGCTACCCTGCCCACCACTCTGCCCACCTCACCGCCCACTCCCACACCCCGCACCTCAACCCCACCCACACCACACCTTCCCCTTCGATTGACAAGTGCTGGGTAATAACTTCATTGATGCTTGGTGAAGGGCTGGGTGATTGAGCTGAAGCATTGGTTGGATGGAGGGTGTCGGCGCAGCAGGAACTGCAAGCTTGCTCATGTCTGGGATAGCCTGGACAGACAGACCCTTCCCCACCCACCCCACCCCCACCCCACACCACCCCACCCCACCCCACCCCGCCCGCCTTCCACCCCACCCGCACCCTGCCCTGTGCTTGTTTGATTGTTTGTTTAATTGGCTTGGTTTGGGTTGAGTTTAGTTTGGCGCGCTTATTATAGTGCAGGTTTGCGTGTTTGCGTGGTTGGGTGGTTGTGTGTGTGTGTTTTTTTTGGTGTGTGTGTGTGTGGGCCTGTGTGTGTGTGTGTGTCTGTGTGCGTGTGTCTGTGTGTGTGTCTGTGTGCGTCTGTGGGTGTCTGCGTGTGTCTCTGTATGTGTCTCTGTGTGTCTGAGTGTGTCTGTGTGTCTCTGTGTGTCTCTGTGTGTCTGTGTCTGCGCATGTGTGTGTTTGTGTGGTTCCGTGTTTGTGTGTTTGTGTGTGTGGGTTTGTGCATGTGTGTGTTTGTGCATGTGTGTGAGTGTGGGTGTTTGTGTGTTTTTGTGTGTGTTTGTGTGTTTGTGCGCGTGTGCGTGTTTGTGTGTATGAGCGTTTGTGTGTTTGCGTGTCTGTGTGTTTGTTTGATTGATTTGTTGATTGTTTTTGTTTGCTTGTTTCTTTGTTTCTTTGTTTGTTTGGGTTCTTGTTGTTTTGTTTGCGTGCTTGTGTGCTTGTGCGCTTGTGTGCTTGCGGGCTTCCTCGCCTGCTTGCTTGTGTTTGTTTGTTTGATTGTTTGTTTTGTTCTTTGTTGTTTGTTTGTGTGTGTAGAAGCGTTCAGCCACTTGTTGTTCTGCCGGGGAATGTGTCGTTGCGTGCGGCGTGCTCAAATGCGCGCGTGGGCCTGCGAGCGCATTTTCGCTTGCCAAGCGGGCATGTGGACATTTGCGCACGAGCGTGTGGGCATGTGTTCATTTGCGCTTGCAAGCATGTGCATGCGTGCAATTGTGGGAGTGTGGGTATGTGGGTGTGGGTGTGCGTGTGTGTGCGCGTGCGCGCGCGTGTGCGTGTGCGCGTGTGCGCGTGCGTGTGCGTGTGTGCGTGCGTGCTTTGGTGCGTGCGCGCGACTTCCTCCAGTCCCGCCATCGAATGCGTACGTTTTTGTTACCAAACAGCATAAAAGCGTGAACGGGGAACACAAACTAGGCCCAGGCCTCCTCCAACCCGAACGCACATGAGAACCAGCGCCGCCTGCTGGCCGGGCCTTTGAAGGAGCGCCCGCCAACCCAGCGACATTTGCAGCAAGCGTACGTGCTGCAATTGCTGGAGGCTCTTCAGCGCCTTGCTTAGGCGCGTTCCGGGCCGCAGGAGCAACGCACACTGTCGAGTAATTACAAGGTGTCCAGGGATACCTTTCTAAAAAACCGAAGCACGAACGGTTTCAACATTTTCTCCGCCATAGCACCTTGCCGCGTTCTAGTGAAAACGTGGGCAGTGCTCTGGCGGCGTGAGGGGTGCTCTCCAGTCACACTGGCAGGTCTGGGCAGACCGGCCTTTTCTCTACCATACAGGCCGGCGAGGGAGGCTTAGCAAGCCTGGCTAACTTACCATTGGAGAGATTCGACAGGCACTCTGGCAGCTTGCCTCTTGGCCGCTAGCTTGACTGTTTTGCACAAGCCGCGCGTGCGGCGTTAAGTTTTGCCGGGCGCGCTTGCGGCGCTCACTTAGCGGTGCTACATGGCCAGCTCATGAGGCGATGTGCTCCATTCAGGCCCGCTGGCAGTTTTTCGCTTTTCACTTCCAGACATGTGCTGCGAAGCCGAGGACGCCGCAGACACATCCAGAGGATGTGCTCTTCAACGCGGTCTTCGCCACCTGCTTGCCTCACCAGGTGTCGAAGGCTGGCTGGATCAGCACGGCGCAAGCCCAGGCCGCATCTTAGAAGCTTGTGTTTCGGCGTCAAATGTAGTTGCCAACCTCAACAATTAGACAGACCCCTTGAGCTGGCCAAGCTCCATAAGCTCCATGGGTTTGGCAAAGTCTGCTTTGAACTGTTGCTTGAAATGTCGCCATGGCCAACGTGTCCCCTCCGTCACAGGAACAGCTGCAGTCTACGGACCAAGAAGGGCGTCTCGTGGCCCTATGGACGAGCTGTTGACAAGCTGCGCAGCATTCGGCCACTCTAATAGAGGCTGGCCTCGGACGTCTTTTTTGATTGCAAGGGTGGCAAGCGCAAGGGCAAGGTTCCACGAAGCATTCTCCATCTGATGACTTGATTGATTGTCTGAAAAGCCTGCTCCGCTCCCACAATTGAGTCCCTCTCCAGGGCACCTAATCCCTGAAAAAATTACCCACCGTGGTAGCAGCCTCTGTGGCCTTGGATCTGCTTCAAGATAAGAACCTGATGTATTTGACGGATCGATTGCACTGGAAGTCCCTGGTAGCTTATATATATATACATAATGTGCCCTGTCACTGCAGCATGGTCCCAAAGCGCAAGGTGAAGGTGCTTTTCGCTGTGACACACTGAACTAGGGCCACAAACCCTCCTCCGCCGTTTATATGGGTACCTTCCCTCGCGACGCGTTTCAAGGGGGCTGTCTGCCTCGCGTGTCCTCCCTGCTACACAAGGCCACACTGTTGCTCACTAAGCCTTGGGCTGTGATGGGCCCCGCTCAAAGTGCGGGCTTGGCTTGGCTCAGTACCATGGTGAGTGATCATAGTGGGAAGATGCGGTTGGGGAAGCGCTGCACATCGAGGATGACCGTCTTGCCCGTGTGGTGCGGTTTTCAGGGCCAATACTGGCGGGCAGCGCTTGTCCGCTCAGCCAGTTTGAGCTCCATGTGGACGCCTTCGGCAGGGCTCTGTGTTTTTCTTTACATATAGTGAAGCTCTGCAGCTTCCACGCACTCAGTCACTCACTCACTCGCGCTTGCAATCGCACCATCGCCCGCACCCACGCTCACGCGTGCACACGCCCCCGCGCTCGCACTCTCAGTCTCACTCTCACCGACACCCGTGCTCGGACTCGCGCTCGCACTCCCAGTCTCACTCTCACCCTCACTCGCACACGCACTCGCGCTCACACCCACACATTAACTCTGACTCTCACTCGCACTGACACTCACGCACTCCCGCACGCACTCACTGACTCACCGACTCAGTGAGTCAGTGACTCATTCACTCACTCACTCACTCACTCACTCACTCACTCACTCGCTTGCTCACTCGCTCGCTCACTCACTCACTCACTCACTCACTCACTCACTCACTCACTCACTCACTCACTCACTCATGACACTCACTCACTGACTCACGCACGCACGCATGCACGCACGCACGCACTCACGCACTCACACACTCACGCAATCACTCACGCGCTCACGCACTTACGCACTCACGCACTCACGCACTCATGCACTCGCTGCACTCACGCAGTCACGCCAGTGCTACTTGCTAATGCAACTTGCAAATGCAACATTGTTATAATTGTTATAGTGTTACTTGCTGGTGCTTTCCCTTCTCTCGCTGTGTGTGAAGAGAGGAAGAATGAAGGAAGAGAGAGGTGATATGCCAAGTCTGACATCCTTCCAAAGTCATCAGCTCAGCCTATCTTCTGCGCAGGTCGCAGGCCTGCGGCTTCCCTGCTGTCTGAGACGTGAATACCGGAAGAAAAGCCAGCATGGTGCATATGGCGCACGCATGGTGCATGTGTGGTGCACTTTTCTGCTGTCTGCCATGGCCTTTTGCTGCAGATTCAATGGAATTTGGCACTAGCCACTATCTTAAGCAACAAAAATGCCCTATGTTCAGGCACTTACGCGATTTACAACTCACAGCGTGAGAACCCGGTCCCTGCTTGCGTGGAAGCTTTGCCAATCTCTTGGCCGGATAATTGCTGGAAGCCTGCCATTTGTGTTCTTCAGCTTGCAAATTGCAAATTTCTTGACGTGGGGGACTTGCCCAATGACCCCATCTTCTGCGTCACAGCGGGCGCCTGACTTGCAAATCCAACTTCTTAAAGGCGCGTTCTTTTAAATTATTGTGCCCAAAAAAGAAGAACAGCATTCTTGGGTCGCCTTTTAAACTCTTGTGCCCGAAGTAAAAGAACATCAACTTTTTGTCCCCCCCCAGCAGCAGTAATGCAGATGATGCTGGTGATGTCGCCGATGCGGCTCGGCGTTCTTTTAAACTCCTGTGACTTTTTGGTCGCCCCAGGCAGCGGTAATGCAGTAGCGTGCTAGGAAGTTGGGAGCTGGACCTAAATCTTTGCACATGTGTGCGCTGCGCATGCATCCAACATTCCAACGAGTTTGCCAAGCGCCGAACTTCCATGCGTTCCGTGGTTTGCACAGGGTCATTCGCATGGCCGCTTGCCTTGAGATGTAACTTGATGCTGGGGGCATATCGGAGTGAGTTGAGGTAGTCTTGCAAAGCGGTGTTGCAACCTGAAGAGGTATCACAAGAGGACGTGCCGGCCGTCAGTGACGTGTCGTGACTGTCACCCCTATCAAGCACATTCAAGAAACCTACAGTACTACAGGCTTGTCACTCAATAGCTCGTGCTTGCGGTTGCGACTTCGTGGCCTGGCTCATGCTCGCCCAACGCGATCCTTGCGCAAATTCCCTGCCATGTCAAAGAGGAGTGGGCGAACATGGTTGATCAAGGCCAAGCCACTCTGTGCCTGTGCCGTGCACAGTTCTTTCCCGATGTGATGACTGCGTGCCTCAGATCGCTTCACAAGACGTCTCTGGGCATGATCCTCGCGCCGCGCAAGTGCAGCGACAGAGCGCTGCGCCGTTGGTCGCTGTGGCAAACTTGATAGTGGGGCATTCAGTTGCCGTGTCAACTTGATAGAGCGCGATGTTTCAACAGAATGCCAGTGTTCTTGCTTGTGGGGTCTTGGAGTCTTGCCGCAAGTTGCCTCAACCCCTGGTTGTCATCAAGCTCACGGTCTCTTACCATTCCGGTTGCTTGGCAGCTCACAGCTGTACCCGTAGACTAGGACTTAACATGTGAAATATTCAGTGGCAGGAGCCAACGAACCAATCAGGCTGGCTGGCTGCTGCGACAGACATTCCCGGCAGCTTTCTCGTCAAGATGGTAGACTTGGGTAACCCCCTACAGCGAGGTGAGCTACAGGCGCTATGCCCTAGCAGCCAAAGAGATGAAGGAGAAGGAGCAGGATATGGGGAAAAAGGGAGAAGGAGAAGTGAGCCCGGCAGAACAAACTCTGCAAGCTGACCGACCTGTCGGTGTCCGCGATTTGGTCCATATTGTGTCAAAGTTCCAAAAGTTTGATTAACCTTGTACAAGGAGCTGGGCATTCCTCCCCGCGCAAGCAATCTTGGTTTGGGGGTTGTCTCGCGTGTGGTTTCTATACCCCCTAGCTTCGGGTAGCACAGATGATCGCCCGGACCTTTTGGCTGCCCTGAGCACTTTGGCTCTGGCAAGTTGGCCATTGATGTTTAAAGTCGTCGAATAGAGTATGCGCAAGCTCTTGATGTGTGTGATAGATGTAGGAAGCGGGGCAAAAACAAAAGAGGGCTCGCCTCAAATATTCGGGGTGATGATGTAGAACAAGGGCTGCTAACAAGGTCGCATTTGGTTCCTTTGGGAAGTTAGTGGTTATCATTGGGGGGGGCGCACAAAACCTCGGTCGGTGACTTCGTATTTTTTTTGCCATCAAGATGTTCATCTTGAGGAAAACAAGGAGCAACGCAGCCGTCGATCGCTTCGTAGATTTCTCTTGAAGATTCTACTCCACGGGGACGTGAGATTTGTAAATTATTGGCTGGTTACAATGTCTCAATCCGTTCCAGTGTAATGCAATCATTCGCTCAACTCGGGAGAGCTTCGTTCGTGGAACAAAGCCAAGATTCACACTATACCGGGGCAGGCAGCTAGCTGCACGTGAGAAAATGGTCGCCCGCAGAGACACGGTGGGTTGCAAAATGGTTCCCGCTTTCTCGTGACAGCCCGCATTTTTCGAGTCTGTCGACTTGCCCCGCTCATTGGCGCCTGCGTGGCCGAGTTGGGTCATTCAAAAATGCAAAACGCTTGTCCTTTCGGTTTCCCTTTAAAGCCAACCCGGTTATCTTTAGCATGAGAAAAAACATATCTCAAGACATATGCACCAGCGTTGCTCGCGTGATTGTCTAAACCAAAACTCTCCAAACCACAGGGAACCGTGCTCTGTAAGGACTCCTGGACACGGGTCCCATTTCACTGGCCC